TTAAATCTAAAACAATGTTAGTCAGCATTGGAAATCAAACTTTAACATCATTGTACATATACTTTTTCAGTCCTTTTTACTTTCCCGTATACGTACGTATACATGGAGTAATATACGTAGTATAGGGAAAGTTATGTAATGCCGCGGATAATGGATTTTGAGATATCAACGGAAATACACGTATTGGCATCCTCTAATACCGAAAAAGTGTCTTTCCAAAACGTCCATCTGTCCGTCTGTCCGTCTGGTGTCTATGAACACTACCAGCACCTAAACCATACGTAGGATTTTTTACGAATTGAAGAAACCCATATCCATCTGGTTTGAGTTGAAACTTTGAGATTTTAAAAAACATTCTTCAAAATTTGGAGGTACTTTACATGAAGCCCTTCGGACATTTTCAAAATTTTCTCAAAAACGGCTCTTTAAATTTCTTGTAAGAATTGTCATACACTTATAAAAGTGGCATAGGTCTGTTTTTCACCGTTAACTCTAAATTTCGAAAGTATGACTTTTTTTCGGTGTTTTCCAACAACTACAAAATGAGAGATAGAAATGTTTTCTTCATATAAAATTTGTTCTCCATAGTGAGTTCTTTCATTAAAATCATGTACATTGTTTTGAAAAGTTTAGTAGTTTTCGCGCAATTTTGCGTGCAATATGTGCAATATAAAAACATCACAAAAACAATATTGTCTCAAAAACGGCTGAAAATTTTTTCTTTAAACTTTTGGTAGGGATAGTACTAAATTCACTCTATAAGATGGCATAAAAGCCGTATTGCTCTATTTTTTTCAAAAATTACAAAAATTTAATTTTTTGATCTTTAGATGTTGTTAATACTTACATTAGCGGTAATTTCTTAACATTAATGTATTTATGAATACATGAGCTTTAAATAATGTCAGATAAAGTTTCCCGAAAGTTCAAAGTTTTTCCGTGAAAATGAGCTTCAAATTCCGCATTTTCAAAAATGCTCAAACGCTATTTTCTCAAAAAGGCTCCAAATTTTTTCTTCAAACGTTTCAAACGGATAGTGCTAATTGCACTGTTTAAGATGACATACAATTAATTTTGCTGTATTCTATACTAGTATAGAAATATAATTTTGTGAAAGATCTCTCACGCCTTTAATGTGCATATTTTCAGCGATTTGTAAACACTATTGCATTTATGACTGGAAGTGCTCGGAATGACGTGATATGAAGTTTTTAGAAAACTCAATAGTTTTCTGTGAAAAGAGGTTCAAATTTCGAATTTACAGTAGCGCTTAAATGCAATTTCCTATAAACGGCTCCAAATTTTTTAAAGAAAATTTTCAATTAGGACGAGGTTTTATTGTTCTTTAATATTTTTGAAATAATATTTCTGTTCTACTATTAGGAAGCCGAAAAATTAAGAAAATTTCAAAAAATGTATTTTGGCGGAGATAGACGGCAGCTAGCAAGAGAATGTGGCAAGTCCTCATAGGTAGCCGAGACCAATGGAAATAGAAAACAAATAAGGAAAAGTCTGTGCCATTCTGTTGCACCTGTAGCTAGGTGCCACATTAGGTTCACAAAATTCATAATGTCAAAACTTGTTTTTTCATCTCTAGTGAAACATTTTAAAATTCTGTGCCTTTGAACGCACGAGGGGCCCAAATGCGCGGAACCCTTGGGTAAATGTGCCACTAGAATAAACCAGTACTGTTCGTGAGTAGAAGCGATTCAAATGATTTCTAATAAAGTTTTCGAAAACTCAAAAGTGCTCCCGAAACAAGGTTCAAAAATCGCATTTACAGAAACGCTTAAAATACATTTTCTCAAATATTGTTCCAAACTTTTCAACGAAAATTTCCATAAATGGAAAGGTTTAAGTATATTATAGAATAGTCAAAGTCATATTTCAGTTCTACTTCTACCATTAAAGGACCGACAAAATTTAAAAAAAAAATGAAAATGTGCAAAAATATACATTGCGCGGCGATAGATGGCAGCTGGGAAGACATGGGGGCAAAGCGAAAACGCTAAGCCAGACCAAAGAAATTAGAAAACTAACTAGTACGAGAAAGCCTGTGCAGTTCTGTAGATCGCTTATTTTCTCGTACATACGTATACTGAGTAATATACGTAGTAGAGTGAAAGTTATGCAATGCTGCGGGAAACCGATTTCGAGATGTCAAAGAAAATACACGTTTGAAATAGAAAACTTGTTTATTTTTGTTTTTTTCAAAATCTCCGTCTGGCTGTTTATCTGTCCGTCCATCTGTCTGTCTGTCCGCCCGTGTGAATAACCTACAAAACATGGATTCTCGCTACCCAACGTGTTAGAGGAAGTCATTTACTATATATAGCAGATCGATTTATCCACTTTTTCGTTACCAAGTCCCCGCAGTAAGAGTTTTTCTGTCAAAAATTCGCCCATTTCCGGCTCACGATTTCATAACTTTCACTTCTTACGAAGTAGTGCGAGAAAGTAAAAAAAAAATAGCGTCATGTAATATTGAAAATGTTAGCGTCGTTTCATTAATTTCATAGAGTCCTACAATTATTTAACATAAACATTTAATTGAAAATTTCAAGAAATATCAACAAACTGTATTGCGACTTACAAAATTCGATTACGAATTTCTTGAGTTCCAAGTCCTTTTTCAATTCTTTACTACTTTTTCCATCACTGAGCATCACTGAGCCCCTTGACTTGCGGGGCCTTGGGCGATCGCCCGAACTGCCCATGCGTAGCACCATCACTGGTCTAATCGCATCAGCTGTAGTATACTACTGACATTAATGTAAAATAGTGATTGTATGCTAGGATTAAAATAAAATGTATGTCATTAAGTCTGTCCCAAAAATTACCCATGTGGTACATATGATTTTATTTTTGACGTTGGATTGCGCTGCTATCGATAACTTTTAAATTTTCCAGAAACTTTATAAGACATAATTTGAAGCCCGTGTTCTCATAAATGCAATTGTGTATACAAATGATCGTGAGAGAGGAGAGAGATGTCAAAAAACTACATTTGTGTAAAAAATAGTACTGAAAAAAAGAAGTGTTTGTCAACACACACACACACGCGCGCGCACACACACACGCGCACGCGCGCGCACACACACACACACACACACACACACACACACACACACACACACACACACACACACACACATATATATATATATATATATATATATATATATATATATATATATTTAGCATAACACTATCACTAAGGAAATTTTTGGTGCCGTTTTTGCGAAATTCTTGTTTTTGATATTTTGTAGTATTCGTATATTTCATACAAAATTTCGTGAAAACTACTGAAATGTTAAAAAATGTTCATGACATGAAGGAAAGAACTAATTATGGAGAACAAAATATATTTGGAGAAAAAATCTCCATCTTCAATATTGTAGTTGCAGGAGACGTCGAAAAAATTTTAAACTTTTGTAATTTTCGAAAATTTAGAGTAAACAGTGAAAATCAGATTCGTGCCACCATTATAAATATGTTTTACTCTATCCTTAGAAGAAATTAAAACAAATATTTGGAGCCATTTTTGAGAAGTTTTTTGAAATGTCGCAAGGGCTTTATGTTTGAAAACTTGATAGTAGATGAACGAAATGTGGATTTATAAGGAGAGTTGTGTTCAAAGTATGCATGAAAAGCCAGAAAAGTATGCCATTAAAATGTTTACTCTATGAGATTTTATAACCGGCTATGTTTGAATCTTGAGGTTTATACCGGGAAAGGAAAACATTCAATGATAGAACTCATTGATTATTACATAATTAATTTGATAAGGGTCTTACAGGTTTTCTGGATAGATTCTACAGTTCTTCACTTGCTTTGGACTTTCTTTTGTCCAAGAAAACAAAGGCTGCTGGTACTTGTATGCCAAATATGAAAGACCTGAAAGGAAATACGATTTCAAAACAATTGAAAAGAGATGAGTGAGTTAAAATGAAAAGAGGTCAATTGTTATGTTTGAAGTGGAGAGATACTAGGGACATATTATGTTTATCAATAGTTCAAAGATGATCAGAACAGAAGTAAAGGTAAAAGCCAAGGGAGGTGAGAAAACCAAATCAAAGACCGAAGTAACTTTAGATCGCAATCTGAATAAAGCAGGGATAGAAATAATTATAAGATTGATCTATTACTCCAAGAAAAGGAAACAGTTGAAGTGGCGCAAGAAAAGTTTCTTCCACATGTTTGTTATGGCAGTAGAAAATGCTTGTATTTTGTATTAGGAGAACAGAACCCAAAAGAAAGACTTTAGCAACATTTTTGCAGAAATTAGGAGAACAGCTTGCAGAGAAGGAAGCTGCACAGAGGCAAGAAAGCACACAAGCAACCACATCAAACTGGTTCATGGGAAGACACTCGGAAGAAAAATACCTTCCACTGATAAGATCAACTCTACGAGAGTGAGCATAGGGTGCTCAGATGTAAATAAAAAAGCAACAGGAAAATCTGGGAGGAAGTTGACTCTGGTGCCTTGGAGATGACCTAACTGTAGTGTTCCCTTCTACATGTCAGATTACTTCAAATTAGATCACACAAAGGCTAATCATGCCTAGAAAGTATATATTGTTGTTGTGCAGTTTTTATGCTGTATTTTTGTAATATATTCAAGTATGACAATAAAATAGAAAATTTGGAACTTTTACTAATTTTTCATTTGTTTCAAATTAACAAACAACTTTCTAAAAATAGTAAGGGTATATTGTTTCACCATAATAATTACTGATGTCGCTTAAAACACCTCTAAATAAATTCTGAGACACAACCGTTCACCAAGCGCCTCAGGTGGCTCACTTATTTTGGTTATAACATACATTCAATATATAAATAGCACTGAATATCAATGTAAAATAACCTTTTGACGTTACTGGATTTGATGAAAAGTGTCCCATTACTTTTTTCTCAATCCCGACAAGAGTCAAGTTTCTTCAGTGCTTTCTAGAGAAATGCGAACTGTCCGAACATTCAGATAGTGGCGGTCAAACCGCTCAGCTCTGTCGGGATCTTCCCGAACTGAATGACCCCTTAGTTCCATTCACCGCCACTACGCGGCGCAGAGCGCGCACCCGGGGGGCAAGCACCCGCCGACAAGGCCGCCGCGGCGGCGCGTGCGCGCTGGCGTCGTCGAACAGCTGTGCGGCGTCCGGCAGTGCTGGCAGCGACAGCGGCGCGCAGGGAGGCTGGCCCGGGCGAGGTGACAGTGGCGGCGCGCTTCCATGTGCCGGAGTGTCGTGCGAGGATCCCGATTCGCCCGCGCTTCGCGAGTGACGAGGCGGAGGAGGAGGAGTAGGCTGCGGCAGCGGCCGCGAGTGCGACGGCTGCGGCGAGCGCAGCATCCCGATCCGCGTCCTGCCACAGGCGGCGCAGCCAGAAGACGAGGACGGCGGCGCGCAGCGCGCCACGCGCCCTGCGCAGCGGAGACGTTGACCCCCGGCGCGCGCAGCCTGTAAGTGCCCCGCCGCTGCAGCGGCTGCGCCAGCGCCCGGCTCCGCTCCTTTGTTGTGACGCGCCGCCCGCCCCCGCGCAGCGCCGCGCCGCGCAGCATATGTTGACGCTGCGGCGGCGACGGCGACGGCGCGCGCGCGCGGGCGGGCGGGCGCCGAATCCTTTGTCTCGAGCGCCGAGATGCAGCCGCTATCGATCTAGCGACCGCCGCGGCGGCGACGGAGGCGGCTGCAGCGCTGAACCTCGGCGGGCGGCGCGGCGTCCTCGCGAACGCGACGTCAGCGTCGTAGATTTTTGCGCGGCGGGCGCGGGTGGGCGGATGGGCGCAGCTCCATGGTCGATATCCCGCAGAGGGTCGCGAACCCAGACCCCGTCGCGCCCGCCGTCGCCGCCACCGCGCCGCCCCCGCAGCCGCCGCCGCCACACGTGCCGCGCATCGATTCGGGGCGCGCGGTCGCAGGTGCCTCCGGTCACCGGAGCCTCTGCGGGTCGCTCGAGCCGTTGGAGAACGTCGCTGCGCTGGCAGCTGGGTTGAAACGGTTTCGGGAGTGATTTGACGTTTCGCGCGCGGGAAGTCGTGGGCTGCTCCTCACATTCGGCATTCGCCGAGCAGCGAGCTGCTGCTCGCCCAAGCCCGAACAGCTGATGTGTGTTCGGCGAATGTTCGCACCCTTTGATTTGTCCTAAAAACCGACACGCGGCGGGTAGGGCGAGCCTAGCGGTTCTATACATTCGGTATTCGGCGAGTAGCGAGCGAACGTTCGCCGAATCCCAAATAGTGGTTTGCCATTTGCCGAGCGACGAACATTCCGAGCTCCTTTGTAGACACTTTCCCCAGCGAAACATAGCGCCCGACTGGGCATGATGTCACCGAGAGCACATAATTAGTGTTGTCCTAAGTTATGTAAAACGTATTGACATTTCGATAGCGGACTCTCTTGCCTTAACTTGCTGTAGCTTGTTGTCAACCATCGCGGTTAAATGTTTGTTCTTTACTCTGTTTTGTAACAAGGAAAGGGAATTAGTAATTTTCCTTCATTCTCGGTTTCAGTATAGTTTTCAATGGCTTGTGAAACATGACTGCTTCCGATTATTCATGTTAGTGCGTATAGTTGTTTCTGGAGAATCCAGGAGGAACGCCACCGTTATCGAAAATATTCTACGTACTCGTTTGTTTTTTTTTCGAAATTAATGCCTCTCCATGTAATTTTCATATTTTTTTGTTACATTGGTTTCTAAAATGTTTCTTTTAATGTTCATCTGAAAACTTAGACGTATCTAGTTGCTGTCAACAGCTTTAATAAATCGCTGGGTTGTCCAATTCTTTTGAGAATTACAAATGATGTCTAAATAAAAATAATAAAGCCGTGCGTTTCATTAAATTACTCTCGTTTGTGAAAATGGTCAAGTAAATGTCTATTATATTTTCATCATTAAGACTGCGAGTAAAATTTTAAATTGATGACATTGACATTAATTTCGATTTGCTTGGTAGTTAACTGCACATTTACGCCAATTTAAAGCGTCATCGAAACCAAACTGCTAATCCCAAGCGGCTATCACTACTTGTTGACTTTCCTCTGTAAATCGTTTTATTGGAGAACGATGTTTTTGAATGAGTCATAATGTCAGCTGTTGCGTGCCGCCATTATCCAGAACGATCTGTTCCGAAGCGAGAAGCAGACCAGAGCACAGAAAATTCTCCATTTGCGAGGAAATACAGAGGACATAAATTTTACGATATATAAAAAGCTTTCCATTCATAATGATGTCAGAAATGGGTTCATGTCTCAACCATTATCACTCCGAGTGTTGGATCGCCTTATTTCTTCATACAGGTCATGCGGTCGATGTCTTAACAGCGACCAAATAATTCTTATCAGGATGTTGTGTTTTGATACATCGATAATTTTCAAAAATATTTTAAAATTCTGGCAAGTTAAATATCGGTAATGAACAAGAAGCATTTAAAACGCCCGTGCAACAACCCCATTGGGAAAATTCCACTCGCAACTCCCCCTAGCAACAGCGCTGGCACGAGTGGAGCTGCAGTCGGAGGCGTCGGGTCTCGCCGAAGCGACCTGCAAAGGCAGTGAGAGGGGGCGGGGGCGGGGGAGGGGGGCGAGGGACGGCCAAGAGCGCACGCTGGGTCGAAACGGGGCAATTGTGCCCAAATATGATGGGGAAAGAAATGGTTATTTGTGGTAAGAGTGGTAAAAATTCCATTTTATTTTGCGAGTAGGAAAGTTTGTACAAGAGACCGGTAGGTCGAGTGGCCCAATCTCACGAGCATAATAAAATCACTTTTACCGCGTGTGTAATACATGATTTTTTAGGCAGCCTATCTGACTTTCATTGTATTTTCATTCAAGTGTACAAATGAATTGGTTACAATGTTACATTAAGGTTGGTAGTTGCCGATGCGGTCAGAAGAACGCTTTTCTTTTCTTTCTTGGATTGACACTGGTTTGTGTGAGCAATTTGACCATCTTCTCCCTTTCAGCACTAGGACTAAATTAAACGTTTAGCACACTCTCCTTGCCCTATAAGGAACCACTTATACAAACGTTTGTCTAAACAATTTCAGTATGCGTTTGCAGTTTAGTGGGAAGGATGAAATGGTTTATGTTGTATGAGATGGCGCACTTTAATCAAGAAAGAGCAAATAGAGAAAGTGTCAGCTGCAGCTAATTATTCGTGATCTGTAGGCGACAAATAGAAAGAAAAAATGAGATACAGGAAATGAAATATAACATGACACTTTGAAAATATGATACATTATAGTCTACATTATTTCATTGTGAAACTTAAAGGGAAACATTGCTGACATATGATATTTGAACATCCATCCATGAGAAAAGAAAAGAAAAAATGTTGAATATAATTCGAACCGTTGAAAGGGGATTGGGGGGCGCAACGAATTCAAGATTTCATATTCAATTATACACATTTTAAATCATTTTTCGACCATTGCAAGGATGGCTTGAAATTCACAGAAAATAGGCTACGCACATGATTTTATTAAGAACCATTATGGTCTAATCTGGAATCCTAAATGAAATTGGTGTTAAGTTGATTAAGGCGGTATGAATGAAATGAAGACGAAACGATGGTGCAGCTAGAAGCAGGAGAACCGGACGGGGAACCGGAAACTGGGAAGATCTCAAGGAAGAATCTGATGTGAATTCGCGTTGCCACAAATTCCGCATGAACCGTCCGGCATTTAGTGATGCACTCGTGCGTTTTCCAAATCTAGAATGTTTGATTTTAAATTACAGCAGACCACACCCTGAAACGGTGTTCCGTCACCAGTGCACCCCTGCTGACCATAGGTGAGCGTACATAAACAGATGGGAGTTCGTTTATGGCCTCCTTTTCCATACAACATTTTTAATACATGAAATATTTTAGAAGTAAATAAGCAAACCTACAAGTAAAATAAAATTATAACAAGATATATAAATGATAAATTCGATTAATTTTATATTGTACCGTTTACAAGGTTGATAGGGAGAGCCCCTTTCACAAATGTCGCAAACAAATTCCACAAATTGACAGTTAAAAGGTGAAAACATCAGGAATGAACGTATTTACGGCAATAAAATAATTGATTACGTGCTATCTAGCCCCCGTTCAAAAGTTTTAGGGCAAGGGGCTGCGGCCGCCTTAGCTTTCCCCTCTGCTCACACCTACACTGCTGATCATTTGAACCTCGCAACCCAAAGGTGGAAAGTTATCGCGCTGGCCCCAGGAAGTGCTCACGATGAGCTGTGGGTGTGTCAAGGCTCATTCATACTCACTTAAACATAAACGTCAACATTGGCATAAGACGTAACCGTGGATGTCCGCAAACTGCGGACTTTTCAAGTTCTCCTTAATGTGATCTGGGAACATACATATCGCGTACCGCAGCAAGATCAGACGTATAGCGTTTTCATTCGCCATAATTAATACGGTGTGTAAGAGCATAAATTGCCATTAAGAGTCGTTGTTCATCATAGAAGCCACATGGAATAATCCATCAAGAAATACGAAATAATTTCCATGCTAGCGTGAACGCATCCATTTTAGGTCAGTTGTGTAGTTAGAAGCGGCAGAGGGGCGGTCTGCCCCGGATGTCACCATTTTAGGGGTGACACCAATTAGAAAATTTTATAGTTGGAATTATATTTAATTATTTATTTAAAACTTATATTTCAATTATTCTGCATTTCATACAGTTTATAATATATTATAAATAAATGTCATGTGCAAATATATTTTTATTCTTATTAAATAATGTCTAAACTATTCAGTAAAAGATGTTTTTATATTTAATTTATTGGGGGAGAAGGATACCATTAGTTTTGCCCCGGGTGAAAACAACTGAAGCTACACCACTGCTTAAAGTCGTTCGATTGTATATTGAATTTATGTGGCGAGCGTTGCATCGTGGTCAGTGAATGTTTGTGTTTACGTTCAGTCATTGTGAATGGTACGTCCGCGTTTGTGTTCTCGCGTTGTCATTGTGAATGTTCGTTTGGGCGCACTGCGCGTCGGGGGCGTTCGCGTCGGCTGCGTTGCCATCGCCCTCCCTCGCTCTCTGCCAGGCGACGGGTGGGAAGGCGACGCGGAGGGGAGCGGTGCACCCTCGCTACTCAGCTGATCGGCTTCTGCGCGCGCGCAGAACACTTCGCCTGTGGCGCTGACGCTGCATCGCCAACCAAAACCGGCCGCCCCCGCCCGCTCCCGTCCCCGCCCCCCTCGTGCCCGGCGTCGTCCCCGCCCCCGCTCGCGCCCGCCCGCACCCGCCTGCCACTCCCCTCTCGCGCCCGCCCCCCCCCCGCTCTGCCCGTCCCCACCCAGCTTGCTCCCGCCCCGCCCACGCTCGCTCCCGTCCCCACCCACTGCT